CCCCCCCCCCCCCCCCCCCCCCCCCCCCCCCCCCCCCCCCCCCCCCCCCCCCCCCCCCCCCCCCCCCCCCCCCCCCCCCCCCCCCCCCCCCCCCCCCACGCCAATTGGGTTTAGGTGAACCTAAAAATCCTGCTTAACGGTCAACAATGTTTTACTTATTTAGAAAAAAATAAAATAACATTAGAGAAAATGAAGTCTGGGAGAAGAAATTTTTGAGGGGGTTTGGTACACAGCATCAAATACCATGTTTGGTACAAAGCTACCACATAAATTAGGAAGACAAAAAATCAAGCATGATTTTGAATTAAGTGTTTCGTTGTCACCGACAACTACAACATTAATGTACAACACCGCATAAAATCTACCACACTAATAAATGTTCAGTGTCACGAAACATTTATTATCCCAATCTAACCAGCAATGATATAATGTACATCAGAAGATCGATGATTAAGCACCTAACCTCCATCATTGCTTTTTCAGCTCTCTGAATCAGTGTACACAGGACTATCTAGTTCTTCCATTCGTGCAGAGGCAAAAGACTCGTCCGTATCTACTGATGACAGGGAAGAAGGCGAGACATCAGAATCTGAGATGACCTCGTCATCCATAATGATGTGTTCATCATCAATCTCTGATGTATCTGAACCAGACACCCCCATCAGAAGCCTGTTTATGGCGCCCTTCGCTGTTTCCACAAACCATTCATCCTCAGGAAGGGCACTGTCAAGAAAGAATGTCTTGAATCTAGTATAGAAAAACAATACTATGGTGATATTTAGCCATGTAACTGAACCAGAAATACCTTTGTGGATCTATTCCTCTAGTAGAGAATGCCTTGATTGCGCGAGCAATTATGTCTGATGCTATCTTATGCACATGCCTAGAAGGATAACCAGCAAAACGTGCAATTTCAACAGTGAAGTGCATATCAAGTATTAACTGCAATGGAGAAGTCCACATATTTGTGTTAGTGAGAAAGCGAACAAGACTTGCTAATTAAATAGCAAATTTTGTCCTTTTTTAGATGCATACGTCATAAAATTTTGTATTGATTATTGACGTTTTCCAGTTTGATCGAACTGGCTGCAGAATGCCAAAGGATACTGTATCTTGCGGCTTAACTTCTTGGGAGTGCTTCTAAATTAACAAGGACTTTAACACACTAAAGAAACAAATTGAGCACATCTAAACTTCATTAAGGCATAAACTAGGCCCCTGTTTGGTTTAGATAAAAATCAGATAGTAGATTTTGATAAAAGTTAATGGAATGTGCGGTTAAAATTAATTATTGAATTTGACTTAGATCTTTATTGAAATTTTAGCTGAACCACACAGGGGCTAGGTATATAAATCTGAGGGCTTGATTCACGATCAAGGGTCCAACCTTTAATTTGAAGGTCCTGAGATGAAGTCTGCACCTCATAAAACAAAGAAAAAAGGTTTCATGCCTTTTCCCGAAGTATCTGCCATCTAGCATTAGACCAAATATCGTGGTAAATTAAATACCTGCTGCAACCCAACTGGCCGAAGAGGAGCAGAATCATGCTCTAAAACACCCCAAAATTCCTGCTCATCAGACAACCACATCACCACTGTTTCGGTTAGCCTGGCAAGTAAAACCTTCTGTATTTTCTCTCTTCCTAGTAAAATATCTCCAGCCACAGCTGCTAGTTGTTGCAGTTTCCCAAATAATGCCTGCAGAAAATGAAACTGACAGTCAAACTAGTAGTAAAAAAGAGTTGGGTATATCCTAGGCTTTTCAGATTTGTGTTAATGCCTCCAAATGAATAAAATCTTATACATATTACATATGAAAAAGGGCATATGCAAGAGGTCAATTTAAACATGGTTGTTCAAGTACTGTAGCACAACCAGCAAACTCTGTACCTTTAAATTCCAGAAAACTAATTACATCATACATCTAGGTATTATGGAGAGAAGTTGTTAGTATTCATCAAAAGATTTCATAATTGATGACGAAATAAGACAGTATTTTTCATCAGTATAGATCAGAGAACACAGCCACATCAAATAACTTATAATCAGTGCCAAATGATAATAAGTAACTCAAGGTGGTGGTTGGGGGGGGGGGGGGGGGGGGATCTTCAAAATTGGAGCAAGACATAGAAACCTGGAATGGCAGTGAAGGAAGAGGATCAGAGTTCCAGATGAGATCTTCCCCTTTTCCATCTAAATATATTTGTCCACCTAATCGGGTCTCGCCATCTCTCGAGTAGATGAAACTTAAAACATATTGCCGACAGAAATGATCTCTGAGTTTGTCCAGTGAATGCTGAAGTTGACGTCTCCAATCTTTAGGATCTAAAGAATTATTTCCAGCAGGCAATATATTATCAGCTACTGCAATCCCTGCTTCCTTGCTTTCATACAACACATTCCAAATTCGTGAGATTACCATAGGCAATAGTTCTTCGGCTATAGTAAATGCAGTTAACAATAATGCAAGCTGTAGAGAATCTGATTCAGCTTTATATGATACTGGCTCTTTTAGCTACGTAAGATTGTCGTGTTGAGAATCTGTTTCAGCTTTATATGATACTGGCTCTTTTAGCTCCGTAAGATTGTCGTCTTCAGAGGGTCCAGCTAAGGCTTTAATCAGAAAATCAACATACTTGTCGAAAAGTTGAGCAATCCTCATCAATATGTTTCCACCAAAATGCAGGATGACCAAGTGAGTTAGCTGCTCAACTATCTCCTGTACATTATTGAATGTGTCAAGCTTATCTCAAGATATGCATATAACAAAAAGTTGGCATATTTATTGTGTAGTTCGTGAATGTGCGACAATAGTAACAATAGATATGTTCAGGACAATAGAGTTGGCTCTCTTTCCTTCCCCTGAAAACATCTTAACAAAGCAAACCACGATATAATAAAATACATCTGCATATATAGAGCAGTAGTTCTCTCATAGCAGGCAGTTCAATGCTTCCAGAAGGCTGTTTTTATATCCACATAATCACATTTGACTGAAAAAGGCTACATAAGTAATATTCCACTATGATTCATTACTAATGAAAAGCATATTGGACACCCAAGACCAAGTCCACACTAAGGCACTTACATCACAATGCTAATCTACAAGTAGTTAAAAGACCTGCCTCAAACGCTAGTACAGAAGGCATTGAAATATAGATGCATGACAATGTCAAACAATGTGGATAAACAACTTTGACATTTTTTTCAATTAAGTTCAACCACTTACGCTATGATCAAGCTCTATATGTACAGTAAGGGAGATAAAGACTCCATATTAACGTATAATCTTGTTAAAAGATGTGTAAATGGCTGTTTAAGAATGGGAACCTATGATAATCATAGCAATTAAAATCATCAACTCACCTTTACAACAAAGACGAACCTCATACCACAATCAACAAGCATAGTATCAGATGAAGTTGCAAAAGTAGAAAGCGGAGACGCAAACCGAGGTGATAAGTGTATGCTCTCATCGCTGCCTACCAAATCAAGAACCACTCTTCTGGCTCTTCTGAAATTTAATTCCAGGACTTCTTCAACATAGGGTTGCAAAAGCACCAAAAGCAACTTAGATAGTTTAAGGCCTTGTGATTCCAAGGTGGAGCAGTGGTGAAGACTAGCCTGAACACATACACTAGCAGCACGTAAAGCAGAAGCCGTATCAGAAGGTGGTGCATTTTCCTTGACCAACCTTACAAGCGATTCAATTTCCCATTCTGCCCATTGAACAATTTTATTACTATAGACAGGATTGTCACCAAACATCAAGCCTGATTCTTTAGTTGTCAATGAAATCATTGAGAACACAAGGTTAGACAATGTGGCGGAATATGTTTCTGGGTAGCAAGGACATAGTGCAAGAAAATCTTCAATGCTTCTCTGGAGTCGGGATCCATAAGATTTCAAAAATATCTGATGTGCTAAAGGACCTTTCCCAAGCTTTAATAAACCAGATAAAACCATCTTCAGTTCCAGTATACCAACTGAGGGCTGTTGGCTGATCTCAATAAGCTGGTTCTCAAGCATTGTTTTGCTTTCCAATAGAGCAGACTTAAATGAGGCATCAGCAGCTGAAACTTCCCCTGATACTTTCAGCTCTGGATAACTTCGCTCTTCAGCGTCAATTGCTTCTATTGCCTCCTCTATTTTGTGTTCCGCCAGAAGAACATCAATATGGTCCAAAAATTGCATCCTTTGATTTTCCACTCCAGTATAGACAATATCATTAATTTCACAAGTTTGCAGGCTATCCTGAACTTCCTGAATGTCACCGCTGATTTGGCTCCATTCTTCCAATTCTCGACAAACACCACCCATCAGATCCTGGACAAGAATCCCCTGGGAAGAAATATGCTTTTGGAGCTCATTTAACTCATGTTTCATTTCAACAACTTCATCAGATAACCTACAAAGATCAGTATAATAAGCTTATACACGAAAGCATAGAGTTAGTGATACGGAGGAGCGTGAGACGAGTCTGGAAAATGGTTCATTGAACATTGACATTCCACATAAATTATCTTCCTATGAACTTCAAATAAGGAGATGGATCAAATGCTATGATGCACCGACACGGACACATGTATCCAACATGATACATGTCGGATACATTGACACGCGATTTTTCAAAAAAAGCACTAACACGATACGTCGCCGACGCGTTGATTAATTCTTTAAAATTCTTCATTTATACGGTATAAATTTAATTTAATACCTTTAAGTTACAAACATATAATATTTTTAATAAAAAATAAAAAATGTGTATTGTAGAGTGTCCGAGTAGTGTCGGTACATACATACACATTAAATAGCATGTTCCTACTAATAGTCTTTGATTGTATTTTGAAGACAACAATTGAAAGTTTGAATATTAATCTAATTTTGAGAGATAAATCGTTCTCTAGAAAACTCGAAATCTCGGTATCTCTTTGGTTAATTTAATAAAACAGTGGTTTCCTGTATCCCTTGCTTGATTACTTCGGGTGGTGATAACAGTGCCCCTTCAGCAATTCTACTGGGGTGGTGAGCTATATTTTAATTTCCTTCAATTTCTTCTTCCACTCAGTTTCAGTTAGCGATTTCTGGACCCATTCAAACAGTATCAAGTAAATATGTGCATGGAAGTGATAACCACGTGCAGATCATCGAAAAAGATGTTACAGCTTAGGTCAGGTAATACAGGCAAAAAACTTCATAAGATTAAGGCAAGAAATAGTGTCAATTCTGGGTCAAGGAAGATCAAAATTCAGTCCAACCAACTAGAATGACATGACTCAAAGAACAGTGAGTTATTCAACTCTAAAACACTGAAGTTTATTGTAGAGTTAGATTCTTGAGAGAAAGAAACTCATATTTAACATGTCTTGTTACTTCAAGAAAACCATATTAATATTTATGTTGACCAACCCATTTTCATCCTATCTTAGCACATACATATACATTTTTTTCCCATTTTTTTGGTAGCAGTAGACCAATTATTGGAAGAGCAAAGTAAGAATGTTTTGTCAATTTTCATTTTTATACCTGCCCGCAAGTAATGTTCTACAAATAAATACCATCTAAAGTTATTGGAGTTATATATGGCATGTCCTACTATAACACCCCGAAAATTCCTAATAGTCGTTAATCTTGAATTTGGGACCTTAGTGTAAGATGTTGAAAGTTAGGGGACCAAATAGATGACTTTCCATAGTTGAAGGATCCAATGTGCACTTTTTTTTAAAATTTCAAATTTTGGTAAAGAAATGATATGGAATTGTCATGTTTAGTCAAGGAAAAGATTATGGAATGTAACTTAGCCCCTGTTTGACACCCATTTTCTTCTCATTCTCTTCTCATTCTCATTCTCATTTTTTTCCTCTTTCTTCATTTCAACCACACATTCAATCCATAAAATAATACTACATATAAACCCAAAAATTCTCATTACTTTTTAACCACACATTCTTCCATCAATCACTATTCCATAATTTATTTATTTTTCCAAAATGGGTGTCCAACAGGGGCTTAATTTCTACTTTGATTAAATGTGATTGCATGATTTGATACAAATTTTGCATGTCAATTCCTAATTAATTGGTTAATTATTATAATTAGAGCAACTTTCATCTATTAAAAATTAGAAACATTATTTATGCATTTCTAATTAGCAATCTATTCATATGGTATGATAGAATATTTAATTTGGCATAATTAAATCAAATGTTTTAATTATATGTCAATGTCTTATTAGTAGCAATTATATATTTATTAGTATAGTTAATTGGGTAATTATTTGAGGGATTGATTACACACTATATGGAAAAACGTGTGGTATTAATAAGAGAATGAATGTTTATACCAAAAGTAATAGAGTCAAACCTTAGAGACCCCTATTTATACCCCCTCATATCACTTACACTCACACTACTAAACGTGTACTTTACACCTTTTCTTTTAACTCATCTTCTCCGTACACTTTGACATTACAAAGTTTAGCACGCATAGTGTCCAAGGACTTTTGGAGTGAAAGTCTAACAAGAATATTTCCTCGATTTACTTTGATCTTCTTTCATACAACTGTAAGTGTAGTAGTACGAATTGTTTTTTCATTATTTAAATTACAAAAATTTATGTTATGAATATGATGATACGGAAATTCAAGTTATGATTATTATTATAAGGGTCTTATATGTGTAAGTTCAAAGATCCGAAGTTTAGTAGCGCTAAATACAAGAATTATAGCCAAGAAGTTCAGATTTTAATTCCCCGTGTTTCCATACGTATGTTATGATTTTCCGTATTTAAAAATGAGATGAAATTCGTTATTACCCATTTCATGAGATTTATATCTCACATGTATATGTTCAACCTTTTATAAGTAACTAAAAATGTGAATTCGAGGTGGTCGGAGGTGGATTGTGCTTGCGTTGGTGAAAAGAAAGAATAAATTATGTAGTTTGATGATTTTTAGTAATGTTCATCGTATTTCTCTTTAAACAAATTTTAAATGTTTATATTTTAAGAAAATATTATATTTTTATTTTGTTTATGAAAGTATTCTTTACGGTACATGTATAATGATTCCAAAGGTAAAAAATTTGGGTCGTTACATCTACAATGAAGATACTAAGCACAGTCAACTTACGTGAAAAGTTAAGAATGTTTTTCCATCTGAGAGCTATTGCTAAATCAAGACAAAAATAAGAATTAACTTAATTCGATAGACAAAGTAGACTAATACTTAGTTAAGAATATTTTTCCATCTGAGAGCTATTGCTAAATCAAGATAAAAATAAGAATTAACTTAATTCGATAGACAAAGTAGACTAATACTTTCTTTATTGCAATTTTGTAGTGTGTACCTATGTTATCGCCTGCATACTATGAAGAATTAATTCTAGCAATGGTAATCCATGTATCAAGCTGAGCTTCTATCTTTAACTTTCCTATTCGAAGAAAATTGTCACTATTTATAGTATCTAAATGGATAAATATGGAAGCAAACGTAAGGAGAAAAAATACAGACACAAAATATGAGTAAAGAAAGAGAGTACTAAGTCCTACTAACTTTTTGTTCTTTATCAATTCATTACTCTTACCTCAAAAAAGCCGAATATTTTGTGAGTGTATTACTACACAAGTTCTCTACGGCATCTTTTAAATCCAAAAGCTCAAAACAGATCTTCCTGATTCCCTACATAAATATGAATATTGGCTATTAATAATGGCACAAGTGATGGATGAAAGTAGTTCTTCGAAAGAGCCAAAATAACACGTTCAATTAGATTAGGTTTTATAAGTTTCATACAAGCTAGGAACTAATAAATCCAAAACTTCAGAAGCTCAATCTGTATCCCTTCCAAGAATTTAAATGTTATCTGATCTATTGTCAGTTATAAGACAAAACACCCTGAAAGAAACGACTGGTTATCTTTATAGAGGGACATGAAATGCTAAAACAATGACAATACACATGCCTCAAGGAACCGAGAGTTACAAAGCGAATTATCATAGCAAGGAACAATCTCTAAGGCAAAAGGCATTGTACTCCCTCTGTAGTGTCATGTAGTAAATCCAACAAGAAAATTATGCAGATACATAAAAAATAAAAAACATAACTAGATAGTGAGAGAGGTAAACCTATCCTTTCTGAAAAACCACAACTCGGAATTCGGAATCCTTCAATTTTCAAGTAACGAAAGCTGAGCAATAAGGAAACCACCCCAGGATATTTTACAATAATTGAATTAAAGTAATACTCCATTTGCTAAAAATTGGGAAAGAAGAGATTTTTGGTTAAATCTTTTACCTTTTCAGTCTTGGACTGGTAAATGGTGTCGATCTTGGACTGCGGTGTGACACTTTCCATGGATGGGAAATCATCTTCTTCTTCACTGCTCTCCACCATCTTCATCCTCTCCAGTGTTGGAATTATTGATGGATTTACAGTTTCACGAAGCTCTGAGCAAGATTCAGGGCAGCACCAGTGTGTGTTTGTGAGTGTGAATAGAGCGGAAAAGCAGAGAGAGAGAGAGAGCAATTTGGGTCACAGAACAGAAAAGAAGATTTTCGGTTTGAATTTGTGAACCTAACATAATTGTGCAAGTTTAAGCAAAATGACTTGCGACTTGATCCCCGGACTCAGGTGACCCGGGTTCATTGAGTTGCGTAGACTGGGCCGGACTCACCCAGCCGTTCAAACTTTGGAATTTTTCAAAAATCAGATAATATTAATTAGATAATTAAAATTAAATTAAGGCACAGTAACATACAATTTATGATCACAGTTACATACTAGTCACAATCACAAATGTTATGATCACAAACACACAAAATGTGGGTCACAGTTGCAAATTTAGTCACAAAGACACATTTTTATAGATCACCACTTATTTATCGACTACAAATAATTAAATTAATTGATCACAGCTTATTTATCAATCACATATTGGATCTTAATTTGCAAATAGAATGAGACATGCTAGAGGGTCTCTTGTCAAGTTATCAAGTATTCAATAGAAGAGAACATTCTTGAATTCATGACGATGAATCAATGGGATTTGAGGTCCTTCATAGACTAATCATGATACTCGATAATTTCTCTCTCACAAATAGGGAATGATAAGATGTGCAATCGTGAATGATTAACCTTAGGGACTATAACCCTTAAAATTCCTTATGTACAAGGTTTTTAATTAGAGTCCTCTTAATTGTAAAAGTTCATATCCAATAGATGCTTCTAGAGCCTAATAACTGGATCACTAAAATTGGCACTATTTAATTAGATAGCATGTATAACAATTGTTAATTAAATATAGAAGCCCACAATAGGAAATAATATCCCAACAATTTTTCACTTGAGTTACATATGCTTTTTGAAAACAATTGTATTCCATAACCTCATATGTATACTAAATTTGATATCTTATCTTGAAACATCTCCTCAGTTACAATATGGTCCATCTCCAATACCAGCATGAGATCAAAGCGACATCCATTACACTTGTTTAGTAACTAGATCCATCAATGGTTACCATACCTCATATATACAATAACTAGATCAAGTATGGATGTGAAACAGGAAAATTACATGCAAATCGATCTCAAATATGCCTATTACGAAGTGGTACTTCTTTATTCCATAATTAAATCAATCTTTAGTCTTCCAACCTTATGTTTAAACCACAAACACAAAGAACAGAGTAAATAAAATTTAAACCATATACTTTATTTTGCAAAAAATCGAACGTATTTATAAATATCGCAAATATGCATCTAATCAAAAGAACATCCAATGAACAGAAACTCCCACTAAATCAACATATTATCAAATAAAATCACACTCATATGAGCAGTATGCTCGTGAAAAACTTTAAGTGGTAAACATTAGTGAGCGGATCTGCTATCATCGAATTTGTTCCTATATGTTCTATAGATACTATATTACTATGAACTATATCCTTAACAACCAAAAATTTAATGTATGTATCCTTCAACTTCGAAGAGCTTCTATTGTTATTTGAATATAGCACTGCCGATTTATTGTCACGAAAAATTTTATGTGGTCTTTCAATACCAATCACAATTTGTAGCCTAGAGACCACATCACCTGATTTGTTGCCTTATAACAAGCTATGAATTCAGTTTCCATGATAGAAGGAGCTATGAGTGACTATTTAGCACTCTTCTAGGAAAAAGTACCTCATACCGCAGGTGGACATAGCCCAAAGAAGATCTCTTAGTGTCTTGAAAACTCGCAAGATCGGAATCAGAATATCCAATGATTTCCAAATAACCTGACTTCCAATATGTGAGCAAGTAGTCTTTTATTTTCTGTAAATACCTTATAACCCATTTGACTGCTTTCCAATGATCCATTTTAGGGTTACTGAAATACCTGTCTAACATTTTTCCTATGAACGCTAGATCCGAATGCATACATACTTTAGCATATAAGACTCCCTACAACCAATACATAAAGAATCTTTTGCATCTGTTTCCATTTCATCTCATTCTTGGGGCATTGATTGAGACTAGATTGTCATCCTTAGCAATGGAAATATCTCCTTATGCACAATCTTTCATGTTAAATCTAGCAAGAACCTTTTCAATATAACTCTTTTGTGATAACTCATAATAACCCGAGAGTGATTTTGATGTATCTTAATTCCTAATACAAAAGAGACGTCCCCAAGATCTTTCATTTCAAAATTCTTAGTTAGAAATTTCTTGATTTCGTGCAATAAGCCTATATCGCCGATGGCCAATAGAACGTCATCGACATAAAGCACTAGAAAGATGAATTTGCTTCCACTAAACTTGTGATATACTTAACCATCAACTGCATATAGCTCAAAACCATACTAGATAATGACTTGATGAAATTTGTGATACCATTGAAATGAAGCTCACTTGAGACCATAGATGAATTTTTTTTAACTTGATGACCATAAATTTTGGATCACCTGGCATAGTTTTTTAGATGCACCATATATATGGTTTCCTCAATGTTACCATTGAGAAAATCAGTTTTTACATCCATCTAATGTAACTCTAAATTAAAATGAGCTACAGTTCGAACCAAGTGAATCTCAAACCTCTAGTGCATTTTTCGGCGCTAGCATCATTGCCCATGATCGGGGACCACCACACACAACCTCCTCACATCATGGTGCAGCTATTGAGACCATGAACTTCCTTTAATTTCAACAAAATGCAGAATCCCCATCTCTCCCAGTTCGTGAACAGGGCTTCGTGAAATCCAGTCTCCAATTGAAGGTTATGAGTTGATCCAAACCATAAATTCAACCAAGTCGAGTATTCTATACCATTAAATGAACATCGATATCCTTGCAATTGAACAAATTCATCATTATCCTCTTTCAATTTTCGATTCCAATGCTGCCCATTTTCGGTCCCAACTAAATTCTTCAATACCATTGGTTTTAGGAGACCTAACAGTCCCTATGAGAACATCCAATTTGGTCGGAACCTTTGCATTTGAATTTCTACCCTTTTGCATGCATATTGAAATAGCTAGGAATGTAGTTTCTTGGAAGAATCTGATGATGAATAGAACTCCATTGATATTAGATACATCAAAAACCCCTAGGTTGGTTATCCTGGGTTCTAATTATATCAATCGGATTGCATTGGAAAGCCTGTCCATTGGCACACAAAACGAGGTAGGAAATTATGTTGTTTCTGGCAATTTTTGGCCACGGGACGTATTCCATTGGCTTTAGAGCATAGGAATCCTCGAGATTAATACATAGGCATCTAATCAAACTTAGGCCATGAGTGCCACTAATGCGCATATCCCACCCTTATGTAGGCAACCTCTACCACCACGTGCAGCCCCATGGGATAACGAATTTGCTATACCACACCAGCTGCTCCGCCACTACATGCTCAGGGTCAGAAATCACATGTTGTTACTTTATCTAGTTGCCACACTATCTTTAGGCTAAATGGAGCTAGAAAAAGTCATTTTCTCAGGTGCTACGAACCCCAAGAGTCCTCTGATCATAGGCTCTTGTCTAAGGAGCCTTACATACATCATGGTGAGCCTGTAGTGTTATTTATTGAGGCATGGGATGTAATTCTATCTGTGCCATACAAGTTTACACTTGTTGGAAAATTTAAGCATCTCAAACCTTCTTTGATTAAGGTACGCAATAGTTTTCTTCGCTTTGGATTTTGTGGTGACTATGAGATAGGTCTTATTGATGCCACACATATTTTAATTCATTTGGCGCATAAGGTTGACTATTCACGATTATTCCTCAAACTCACTTGGTACATTGATGATTGCCCTAGCGAGTCATCAAATGGACTTGAAGCTAGCAGCATGAGGTCCATATTGCTCCTGTTTAGGTTTTCCTTTCTTTTGTTGCCCATTCATTTTCGGGCAAAGAACGGTTTGTTTTCTATAGCTAAGGTTATTGGACTTTCGCTTCGCATTGATGAGGCTACTTCTGATCTTTGTCATCCTAGCGAGGTGCGGGTTTGCCTTAAGGTTGATTTGGATTCTAAGCTCCCTGATAGGATCTGGATATAGAGAGAGAGAGAGAGAGAGATAAGATGAGTGATTATTAGCAGCCTGTCACTAATAAGATACTTGACTTTTGTGATCAATGTACACATATAATCATTGTATGGTTAGCTCACGACCTGCACCACCTCCTTCAGCCCCTGTTGTACCAGTTGTTGACCTTACTCCTCAACCTGCTATCCTAGTTAAGAAAAGGGTAATGGAATGGAGGTTATTTCTGAGCATCGTCAGAGGTGGACACCAATTCACAAAGATCGGAGGAGATAGCACCTTATGAGCACTTCGGGTGTCCATATTCAGTCTTCTCCTCAAAATGTTCCTTCTACAGCTAGTGTTGATCCCCAAGTTACAGTTGCTATACATATTTAGGTACAAATAGTTGCTCCACATATGGCTTCTACAATCAGTACAACTCTGCCAGTTACTAGCATTCATGTTCCTTATATCTTCATATCAGTTTTGTTCCTCTTTTAGTTCAGAGTTTTGTAGCTTCTTCCTCGACTAGTCAGCAGATTTAGTCGATTACTATATCAATTGTTTTCCCAATGATTCAGTCAGTTGTTCCTACTAGTATAGCTCGATTGATCATCTCTACATCAACTGCTGCTACTTTGACTCCATCACAGAATGCCAAATCAGTCTATGGTTCATATTTTGATCCATTGGTTAACATTGTAATATAGAGACCACATGTATAAGTTGACTCAGATGATACAGCTTCAGTGGTCAGACATATCCCAAGTCCTATACCAGGTTGGTTTGAGGTACATGTCATTGTTACTCTTCCCATTTGCCAGCAGAATGTGGAGGCATCCATTTCTTCTCTACATTCCAAGTAGTCAGACACAGAGAGTTTGGCA